AAATTTGTAGGGAGATAAAACTCCAGAGGGATCTCTGGCGGCCCAGCCAAGGCAGTTCTCAGTCACCCCATCAGAAGCCATGGTTAACTAATACAGCAATACAGCAATACAGAAATACAGCAACAGTTTTCTAAACATATATTGATCCAACAGACAACATTGCAGGAGGGAAAAACATAGAGATGCAAATGTAAAGTGATTGATGAATTAGAAATGAACCACGTGTTCCTAGAGTATAAGAGCAAAAGGGTTTCCAAGAATATGGGAGCAGAGACCAATCCAAAGGATTTCAGATGAGATCATGATACTCCTTTCTACTTGACTTGCGATATGTTTTCCAAACACCGATTAAACAAAACAGATCCAGCAGTACCATCCATTTCATAACAAAACAGAACCGATTTCCAGATTCTAACGTTTGATTAGCTAATTACTTGGTACAAATTCAATAAGATTACATGAATCCGTAAATCTCGTAAGATGTTGCAGCGAGTGTAGGTGCATGTGTGTATGAGGGGAGTGGTGGGAGAGAAGGGAAATAGAAGGTGTTTGGAGGTCTACAACAGAAGAGAAACAATCAAACAAAGATAATGAAAATGATTGTGAAGAGAGAAGACAAGAGAAGAACTTACTGCGAACTCGAAAGCACCTGAGGACTCGATTGGGATTTCACGGTTATAGATTTTTCTGAATATCGTAAGGCAGAGTCCCATGGTTTTCTGCTTCTGGTTTTTCAGTTGGTTTGGAGTAAGATATAATACATGGGCAATGGGATGAATATGAAGGTGGAGTTGAGTCTGGTATAAATATCAGTTGGTTTGTCTTCCTTTTTCTTTTTTCTGGTGCTTTGCTTTTGCTTATTGTATAGTCCTGCGAATCATTCCTCTGCCTTTTTGCGCAAGTAAGCTTTGCTTTATTTTCCTTTGATTAAATGCTAAATTTGATCCCTCGAATAACTTTTGATTTTGATCTCTAAATTTAAAAAATTTATATTTTAATAACTTATTTACTTGTTTTATGGCTATATAAGAATTTATTAAAGTTACATAAAATACCATAAATTTATTTATTTTGTTTGATTTTATTAATTCATAATTATTAAAATACTTAAAAATATCAGTCAGTTTCTAACAATCAACTAACTATACTTTTATTATTTTTATATAGCCTTAAAGCCTTTTTACGTGACTATAAATATAGTAAAAATTTGAAATTTTGAACTTAATTTCAAATTAAAGTTTTTAAATATTAAATATTAACTTTGCCAAACTCTCTGTGGTTGATTAAAAAACTAAAACATCAGCATTCGACAGTGCATTATGTTATAAACACATGAAATATGCATACTAGCTATTAAGATAAGCAGACCAGCTAGCCGGTGTATGCAATTAAATTGGCTACTCGAATAATGTTCAAAAAATTGGCTACTCGAATAACCGTGTATACTTATTGATCCAAACATGCTTGCCAACTTTTGATCCGTCGAAATAAGATTAAAACATCGAAAAAAGGTGTATCTAAGAAGTTCTAAAGAGAACACAAGGTGATTCCCAGAACAAATGGTGAAGAAGGGACCAGCATCTAAAACCCTTGTGTATTAGGCAAACAACATTCATAAGATGCTTAAGAGTTAAGACACGTTCAGCATATATAAGAGCAGCAAGTGCATTGTGTGATCAATGAACCATGATAGATTTTATGCACGT